GGGGAAAGACAAACGCGCGCGCGCATGCGCGACCCCGCCCTCGGCGCCCCCGCGCACCTCCGCCCCCCGAGTCGCCTCGGCCTCGCCCGGAGGCGGAGGCCGTGCAGCTCTCCTGGAAGCCCTTCCAGGAACGGCCGCGCCCTCGCGGGGCGCGGCGACCCTGCTGCCCCCGTGGCGGGAGGCCGGGAGCGAACGAAGGACGTACACGTACACGAATCCACGCTGGTTTCGCGAGCGCGCATTGCGCGAACGTTCGGAGCACGAGGCCGGTCTCGCGGACTGGAGGGCCGCATTCAGGTGCGTGGTTGGGCGCGTACGTCCTTTGTGGCTTCCGAGGAGGGGCAGAACCTTTTGAGATCCTGGCGTTGCAGTTCTTCCGCGCAGGGCTCTTTCGCCCAGTTTCGGGCCCTGGGACCGTCACATCGATCCAGGTCGAAGAATGGCGCGCCGAGCGTTTTCGCACAGCTTCGGGCGCCCTGGGGCCCTCACATATCGATCGGGCTCGAAGAACGGCGCAAAAAGATGGCGTCCAGGGCTCCTGTCGTGGTTTTTCACGGTGCTGCAATGCTTTCGCTTCGTCGGATCTAAGGGAGGGCGCCCTCCGCGGTTCGGTCGGTTCGACTGCGCCGTGCCTGAGTGTCGCAGGCCTGGGAGGGCAGGCTGCAGCGCACGCGCTGGGGAGGTCCTGGGTGGTCGATCTTGAGGCCTGAAACTGGAACATGTACATTACCAGTGGCGGGCTGATTTTCAATCCCAGGACTTTCTTTTGAGCGTCGAGGACGACGTCGGGGTGGTGTGGTGTATACTTGTTTCCCTGCTGTTCCCGTGGAAACAATGAAACATGTATACACCAGGATCTTGTATACCCCAGGATCCGCTTTCCTGTGTGAGTTTCAGTGCGGGGCCGGCAAATAGTGTCGGTGCATAGAGTTCGGCTCCTTATGAGGGTGGTGCTCGGAGACGGTTGAGCTCCACGAAACAATCACGACGGCTTGCTCTTGCCAAGCTTCGATTTGCAGATGCTTGCTTCGGGCCGTTGGAGTACAGCCACGGCCGATAGTAGGGACGACAGGCTTCCCAAGGCCAGGTTTACCCAAAATGGAGTCCAGCGACACGGGGGTGGTGCAATAGATTTGGTGCACTAGGTTTGTGGGGTTGCAATGCATGTGGGGCGTGAAATACATTTCGGGGCGCAAACGTGTTGCCGTATTTTCGCGTACACTGCAATACAATTCTCCGGCGCAATACATGTGCAATACCATTGCCCCAAAGCTACTGCACCACTCCTTTTCAGCTGGACCCCCTGTTGGGTCACCCAAAGAAGGGCACTCTGCATCATGCCTCGTCGGTCACCTCCCGTCCATCCTAAACCTTTTCGACGGCCAGCCTCGCTCGAAAAGCTCCGGCACGGGCGTCCAAGGCCTTTGGTATCCTCACCGCGCGTCCTTACAGTCAGGCCGCGTAGTAAGGATGGGCATCCTTGCCTTCTCGGCCCATCCTTGGCCGCTTTCGTTGGCCGCGGCCCGCTCGAAAAGCTTCGAAATGGGCGTCCAAGGCCCGTGCATCCTTACCGCGCATCCTCACTGTACGGGTTGACTGTACCATCATCGAGTCGGGCATGCCCCTCTACAGGAGAATAGTCTGGGACGAGATTTCGTGCTCTCTTGGATTGTTCTGATTATTGCTTGACTATGGTTCAGTTTTTATTATTCCAAAATCCGCCTGTAGGGGACATGCCCGACCCAAGACCATCAGTTTCGACTGTATTCAGGAGGCGGTCCAGCACGGAAGCCCGACGCGGGAAAGAGGCTCGAGCATTGTCGAGAGAGTTCCAGGGGGTCGCACGCCGTGCTGGGAAGTCGGAGGCGCGCGAAGGCAGGTTGCAGCGCACGCCTGTGGCACATTGGTTCGGTAGCAAATCATGGGAGCCTTGTGCGCCCTCGTAACTACGTCTTTAGAGTGCATTGGCGTCGATTAGCGTCTGGTACTCGATGACACAGTGCCGACTTAGCGTCGATTACCGTCGATGAGCGTCGGTTAGCGTCGATTTAGCGTCGATTCGCGCCGATTTAGCGTCGATTAGCGTCGACGAGCGTCGATTCGCAAGAGCCAACAAGATGGTACGGGAGGCTCCCATGAGTTGCCGCAGAACGCCGTTGGGCTGGTTCGGGTGGCCGACGAGTGTACCCACGACCCCAGAGTGGACTTTCGTTTAAAGCTGTGATTGCGCGGGGTCCCCAGAAGTCCCGACCCCTTCCCCAGGGCCGGCCTCTCAGCACGTGGCCTTTTGTTGACGGTCCCGGGGCCCGAAGCGAATTTCCAGAGACCTAGATTTTTTTGTGGTGACCACGCCGCGTGGCGAGCCAGTGGGGATTCGGGGCCACCGCACGGTTTCGGCACTCGGGCCGTGCCCCGAGGACGCCTCGGGCGGTGGGGGCCTCCCGGGTCCTGAACCCGAGAGGTGACGGGCAGCGCGGTGAGGCTGTTGGGGATCCCGAGGCCGCCCGCGCGGTCCGTCACGGCACGATTTTTGGGGGGCCGAAGAGCTGCGAAGGGTCGTGATTTTTTCAATGCGGGGTCCCCGGAAATCTCGACCCATTCTTCAAAACTATTTTTTCAACCTAAGTCGTCAAGTGACAGTCCCGGGGCCCTGCGAGGGCCCCTAGAGGCCGAAAATTTGTAAACAAAAACCGCTTTGATTTGTTTTCAATGCGTTGGATCTCTGGGGAGCATGCTCCTTCTTTTCCCGAGGCGTTGGATGCCTGGGGAGGGAGGGGCTGGGCCTGCTTGGCCTTGGGACGGTGCTCGCGGCCACGGCGGGGCGCGGCTCGAATCCATTAGTCGGGGTGGTGTCGGGGAGGGGTCCTGTGAAGCGGTTCGGGGCGAGCACAGATGGGCGGTGGCTCCTCCTCCTCCTCCTCCTCCTCCTCCTCCTCCTCCTCCTCCTCCTTCTCCTCCTCCTCCTCCGTCCCCCTCCTCCTCCTCCTCCTCCTCCTGCTCCTCCTCCTCCTCCTCCTCCTCCTCCTCCTCCTCCTCCTCCTCCTTCTCCTCCTCCTCCTCCCCCTCCTCTTTCCTCTTTCCTCATCCTCGTCCTCCTCGTCCTCCTCCTCCTCCTCCTCCGCCTCCTCCTCCTCCGCCTCCTCCCCCTCCTCTTTCCTCCTCCTCTTTCCTCCTCCTCCTCCTCCTCCTCCTCCCCCTCCTCTTTCCTCTTTCCTCATCCTCGTCGTCCTCCTCCTCCTCCTCCTCCTCCTCCTCCCCAACCCTCTCCGATCCTCCTCGATCCTCGCTTGCCAGACGTCCAACGTCTCGAGAAAGACTTGGCCGTTTCGCAGCATTCGGCATCTTGGGGGCGGCGGCTTCGGGTCCCAGGGCCGTGAAAGAACGACGCAGCATGAAACGCACGCCCTGAGGAAAGGGTCGGGACTTCGGGGACCCCGTGCTCAAGACAGGAACCCACGGGATGGCTGAGCCCGCGTCCCGTGTACCGCGATCTTCCTGGATCTTGTTGCTGCTCAGCTGCTCTCTCTCTCTCTCTCGATCTCCCTCCCGCTCCTCGTGGGCCCTCGCAGATCCAGGGCGCGTGCACCACGGCAGCCCCACGCTGCCGGGCCCATGCGGCGTTGGGTCGCGCCCTACGCCTGGGTGAAGACGGGGTCTGGCACGGCATGTTCGCGCCGCGACGACGCGGCGACCACAGCGCCGGCGTTCGAGGTTGAAAGCGTTGATTGCGTCCGATGTTCATGGTGTCCAGGTGGAGCCGTTCAGCGTAAATATGCAACGATGGGAAACCAAGCAGATACCCACTGGTTCAGTTGAGTGACGAATCAATCATGTGAGCAACCCCCAACGACATCCACATGCTGATGCGAATCTTGGTGCGGACGCAGGAACCGAAGCCAGAAACAACGTAATGCGTATTGTATCCGGGAGCGTCCCATGGACATGCTGCAACAGTGCAGCTAAAAGTGTCCACAGAGGTGTCCCACGGTGTCCCGTGGCATCCTGAAGTGATGGTGGCTATGGTGCCACTCACAGGTCGAGCTTGCCACGTCCAACCTGGAATAAAAATACATGTTACATGTTGACCTACGATACACATGCCGTAAGGAAACCGCTAGAATTGAAGTATGGTTTTCACGCTGAGTGCCATGTGTACTATAAGGTGAAATCTACAGTCACTTGATCTAGTTTGTGCCCCGTGGGCTTCTCGCGATGCTGAAGTCGAAGCTTCCGCACAGGTGTCCGTAGGTGTCCACTCGGATTGTTTGATGTGCTCAAGTAGGGGGCACCGACAGGATCAGACAGCAGCACTACAGCGCCATGCAATTCGATATCCGATGAGAAAGCGAAGCGCTGAGTCTGAAGCTAACGCACCTGATATACGTCTGAACCAGTGTTTTCAGCTAGAAGCGCTAGCAGCCAACGACCGGCAGCTAGCAGCTGAGCGGCAAAGCCAGCTTGATGTTGGTAGACCCAAAAAGGAACATGGCAACGAGCTCACACGAGAGACTCCTAAGCAGCAGGGGAAACGCCAGGGCCGCCTCCCCGACCCCAACGGCATCGGCGCAAGGACGGTCTGCTCCGCAGGGGTGGCTGGCTTCTGGCCTCGTATCCTCATGACGCGTGACTCTCCCGTCGGAGCGTCCACGCGCGCTCGCTGCGCTCCGCGCCGCGCCCAGACTCGGACTCCTCCGTGAGCGGGGCGGGCTTGGCACACCCCGCGGCGCGGACCGCGCAGGTGCCATCGAGGCACGGTTGCCGCGCCTCGATGGCACTTGCGCTGGCCGCGGGGCTCGCCCAGTGCCCCTGGCGGCGGTGGGGGCCCGATGCCACGTGTGGGCCCCTGCTGCCGTTGGGGACGCGCCTGCGTCGACGGCGCTGCCCCTGGCAGCGGTGGGAGCGCGATCTCAGGGCGGGTCCTGGCCGTCAGTGGGGGCGCGTCCGGGTCGACGGGGTTGCCTCCGAGTGGCTGCCCGGTTGGTTGGCAGGAGCTGAAGGGGATGCCGGCGGACCTGCATCAGCAGCTGGCGATCCAGTACGAGGTGTCCGTGTGGGTGGCGGACTCGGAGAGCGAGGCACGTTTCTTCACGATCTCTAGAAATCTGCAGCAACGGGCATGGCGTGCTCCTATCTCCATCGGCTTATTGCTGCTGGTGCATGTGCTTCGTTCCCTGCCTTTGACTTGGAGAGGATAGGCAGCAGAAGCAGATAGGGGGAGAGGAGGAGGAGCAGGAGGAGGAGGGGGTGGAGGGGAAGGAGCAGCATCACTGCGATGAAGCGGTGGAGGTCGAGGGAAAAGAGGACGAAGAGGAATCTAATTCGTAGGATGAGGGGGTGATGGAAAATTAGAACATGACATAATGCTAATACTGATGATGTTGATGATGATGATGACGATGATGATGAGGATGATGCTGGTGATGATAATACTGGTGATACGAATGATGATTATGATGATGATACTGATGATACTGATGATGCTGATACTGATGATGATGTTAAGTATGCTGGTGATGCTGATGATGATGTTGATGGTGATGGTGATGATGAGGGTGATGATGATGATGATGATGATGATGATGATGATGATGATGCTGATGATGATGATGATGATGATGATGATGATGATGGATGACAGGATCGATCATGTAGGGGTTGCACGAAGCAGCCTCAATGGGAGCGGGAATATGGTTGGCTTCAGCCGTGGTGCATACGGGGATGAAGCATGCGTGAGTGCGTGCGTCTATGTTCCGAACTTTTTCTTTGTCCTTGCCTGTGCACACACATGGGACTGGTGATCTTCGCACGTGGGCCGTGCCAGCTGGCCCAGCTTAACGTGTTCGGACTTGGTGGCTGAATTCATGATGTCTGGGCTTTGAAGGGTGTGCCGAAACCTGCGCGATGAGGCCGCCGTTGACCGTACCCGTGGGGCTCCCGCCCGCTGGCACCCCTGAGCCTGGGGGGCTGTCGCATCGACAGTCTGGAAGACGCAAAGGATGACACATAGGGATTCTCAAGGCCTCGCCTTCGAGAGTCGAAGGAGTTGCCATCTCTTCATCGGCTGAAGTCGGTGGACGGCCGGCGGAAGGCGGCGGGAAGCCAGCGGAAGCTGGCGAAAGCCCGCAGAAGTCATCATCGCGCCCGAAGAGGTGGCAATTTGTTTGAGCTCAGAGTTCTCGGAACCGGCAATATAGGGAGGCGTTCTCTGAAGGGCGAAGAAAAAACAGCCATAACCGTTGGGTCCACGTTGTCGCCTCTGGCGGCCCCCCCAAGGCCGACCCCGACACCCCATCGATGATGCCCCGCGCGCGGCACTCGAAATCGGGCGCCGCGCACAGAGGTCGGGGTCGGCCTGAGGGGGGGCGCCAGTGGCGGTTACCTCAGCCCACCAGGGATTGTGAGCGTCTCTTCTTCTCCTATGAGATACTGCCATCCGGGGTGCAGGACCCACTGCAATCAAGACCGATAGTAAGGAACCAGTGCTCCATCAAGGCTGCCTGCGCGTCCTTACCTCGCCGACCCATCCCTGGCCAATTCATGTGGCCTGGCGCCTCTGCAATTGTTTCAACATGGATTCCCAAGGGTCTTGAATCATCAGTGTGTACCCTTGCGAATTGTTGTTGTTGGGTTTCTGCTGACTTTATGTTTAAAATGAGCTGCTCTGGAACGTGGCTCCATGCACTGGAGGTGTCGCGTTCCACTTCGGTTTCGCTTCGCTGCTGGTGGTTCCGTGGAGTTGCCTGGACACGCGCCCGAAGGAGGTGCGCGACCTCATCTGATGTTTTTCGGTTTTCCTCTGCCCTTTCCGCTTTCCCTTTATCGAAGATGCTGCGCTGGAGAAGGACGAGTTCAGATTTGGCCATCGTGGCGTCCCCAACCCTGGCAGTAGACCGACGACTGGCACCAGGGACCGTCTGTCAAGGCAAGGCCTCTGCCATTGCACAGGCGTCTCTCATTCTCTGCTGAGACTGGCTCGCCATCTCTCTCCGCTCCTCGTATCACCATTGCCTGCTCGAGCGTTCACTTGCCACCTCTCTCCGCTCCGAGCAGGTTTGCCTCAACGAGGTTCGCGCTGGGCTCCACGTACGGCGACCTCCAAAGAAGGCCCGCTGGGAGTCTGAGGGTGATGTGCACGAGTAGTCGGAATGAGGCGCATTGCATCCGATCTTTGTTTTCAGAGCCACGGTCTTGCCCGCATGCGGCGGATGTGCGCATTCCTCCCAGTTGTTCGAGGGCGGGTTGGGGGGTAGGAGCTTTAGGTGAGTAAGCGATGTTGGAGCCCTCGCCTCCCATCTGTCTGCCTCCTTGGCGCTCCCACATCGATAACCTTTATTCAGTATGATCCCACACCCACGATCCATCAAATGCCATATCATGTTGTTTCACGGGCGCTGGGAAGGGGACGTCTATTCGGACGGTCGCCTGCAGAGCATCTG